CGGATTCGAATCCTCGTCACAACAAACATGCTCGCCCTTTCAGCTGTGGGGGCATTATAATGTTACGGTCAATCCAACTATTCGTTGGTAAAAGAGTAGTCCAAGAGTTGGCGGTGGGTGGTGATGACTAGCTGCCTTCCCTCTAGTCTTACACTGCTAAATTAGGGACGGCTAGCGCAGATAGCCCTCGTGTAGCTTTGCTCGAAATTCAGAAAAACAAACCAACACCCCGGAGTACCAAGATACCTTTACTAAGCTGGTAAGCAATCTACGGTCATGTGACCTCTTCGTTCTTTACTAATATATATATTCCCGTGTATATGCCAACTACTTGACCAAAGCTTGTTTAAACGTTGTACATTTGTAACAAACTTTTGCACACTAAAGCTTGGAAGGTTTGCATTTAAGAATGCATGCTAGTGAGCACACATTATTATCTTTAATAACACTTTGATCCCTATAGTTAGTTGTTTAGTAGGGTGCATCAAATGCCCCAACGTTTAACAACTCCATTGTCCCTAGTCTTAATTCATGATGTTAAAAAAACACGTAGATTCAAGAAGTCTTGACAGAAATGAATAAAAACTCTATAACCTGAGCGTTTTCGAAAGGTGGACTTTTCTCCTTCAAGGGAAAACTGGGAACTTTCGTCTAGTTTTAAAATATTCCATTAGCTAAAAGCATAAGTACTAGGCATTATTCTCTAATTCTGAACTTAGTTAGGGGGTCCATCTCAGGTCTGTTTATATTAACAGCTTAATGAAAGGTATCAGACGGACTTGACATCAAAATCATAAGGTTAGCTTGATTGTGACAACATCAATTTTCAGGTTTGGTGTCCAGTCTGACTACTTTCACTTTCATTCTCACCATTTTCTTCAAAATCGCAGTAAATTGATGGCAAAAACTTCACAAAAATTGCAGATCTATTAGAGTTGAACTGTGAATTGACCAGCCTAAACCTGCTATTTTCAGCATCCAATTGGTGGTATGTGAAATATATTTTCATTGAGGATTAAGCAAAGATTATCAGGCTTCCAGTAAAGACTTGACACATTTTGGGTATGCTAAGCAGACGCCCTTAGTCAGGCAGTAAAGACTGTGTTACAATGGAATTAAAATAAACTAGAAAAAGTTTTCATGTAGACGTATCAATTTATTGTTTATTATCGTTTATCCGAGTCCTACTTTTAATATCACTATCCTGTTAAGGATACTTCTACATAAAGTATCACTGCAATATTGAGGATATTAACTCACTGATTCGTATATGTTTTTTCATAGCTAGTAGTCTGTACGATCACTGAAATTTAATTAGTGACTAGTTACTTTGTTAAGCCACTATTAGTAGTATAAAACCACTAAGTAATTATTAACTAATAATTAAAAATATTAGCAACAAATTAATAACTAGACATAGATATTGGCTACTAAACATGGCAATAACATATCTGATCACCATAACCTTATTATAGTACTAATATTAAGGATATAATCTCACTGAGATCTAGATAACACCATAGGACAGCTTGTGTTTTTGTGACAAAAGAATACGCAATAAACATGTAATATTAAATTTAGGGGAAGTAGCTAAAAGTAATCGTCTGGTATTTTTGACAGAAAAGTAAGAAACCTACTAAAAATTAATCAGTTGTTTTAAGTGTAGTACATTGAAATGTGTAAATCGTGGATTTTGAAGTGTGTGTAATTTTTATAAAAAGCCTGAACGAGCATTAAATTTATAAGTATCATAATTTATCATGGAAAATGTAGTAAAGTTAAGCACTTTATAGTCCATGTTTTTCTTACGATAATCTAATAAATTGATTAAACTTATCTCATTGCAAGTTGAGAAAAGTTCGTTTTTTTATTTTTGTTTATTCACAAGTAACTATAATGAACAAAGTCAAATTTTCAGTGTGACACAGCTATCGTGAAACGACAACACGAATCTGTTTTGAAATATGTATTCCAATACACTTTTGAGAGCCATCATTGTTACTCTCCATAAAAGAGCCTGTAATTTTGTTGCATTGTCTCAGGTTGATCTGGTTATCTAAGCAATGTTTAGCAAGGTACTCCGTTGAGCTCATTTTGAACAAGTCAGCGATGCAACACAGGATACTGAATAATAAACTGTAGTTGCTGAAACCTATCTTTCACACATTCAATGGATGTGTCAACAGTATTAAGAAACTCCCTTGAAATTTTGTTTTGGATCAAGTTCAGTCAATACCACTTTAATAGTAAACTCTTTTTTTCGTGAGTGAATCTGCTATTATTGTGAAAATTTTCTCAGTGATTTCCACTTCTTTTGTAAGCTATCCTGCATCCACCATACATGTATTTTTCTAAAATTGAGTATATATTTCTACATTTAGTTACAAGTTCTAGATGAAGTGGAAGTATCTAACACCGAACTGTGTTAATCTTACCCTTAAGCAATAACACACAGAGCACAGGACAAGTATATTTTTCACACCTGACATGTTTGACAGAAAATTCATTAAGCTGATCTCAGTAGGATGTCTGACATATTGGTTATATGGAAAAAAAAACAAAGTAAACGGAAGATTTATTTCCCTCTTCTGTTAATGTGGCTTACCTGATGAAGTGGTATTCTGGAAAGTTTTCAAGAAGCTTAAAATTGTTATATGGATCTAACCAAAGCTAGTTTTTATTCGGTGTACGTCTAGCGTTTATCAGATTAGACTTGATATCCAGATAAACTGATGTTCAGAAAGAAAGCCAAAAGTTCCATAAATTACAGGTTCAAGTACTTTAAGGGAATAATATACTGAACAAAAACAGTAGAAAAAACAAGCAAACAGAAGGGCAGTTTTAAACAAAATTCATTACCAACAAACACAGTGTGAGGTTAACAAAACTGACTGGGCTTCTTTTGTATGGTTTAGTACTGAGTTCAGAGATGAAAAGCTGCAAAACTTGAGACCAAGAAAAATTAAGTGCAAAGTCAAGAGAAAGAACTATGGAAATGCCTGATTTAAATAACCTAACAAAACAAAGGAAGTCAGTTATCCCACAAGTCCACATATTACACACTTCAACCAACTGTCTACATGCAGTCTTCAACCAAGTCCCTTTAAATAAGCTACATTCCAAGAATTAAGAACAAACATTGTAGTACGTAGCCTTTACCGATGTAAAAAAAATTAGCACATTTTTACAATCTTGGGACATTCAGTCAACAAGGATGTCAATTACATATCCACAGAAGTTAGCTTACAACAAAGAGGTATTGTCTTTGTCATAGACAATTTCACGTCATATTTGCAAATCATAGTAAGCGTGTATTTTGTTTCCAAGAAAATTCTGTGTCCGATATCATTCATTCTTGGTCAAATTTGATCTATTTCATAGTATGCAGATATATTCACTTGTATCTTATGATCTTGATAGCTTATCTGTTGAAACCAGTTTTACCTTAGAATATCAAAACAGTCAGTGCTGCCTACATTCATTACGTTAAAACAGCAAATGTTGCTAGTCAGTGTTGCTTACATTATTTGAGTATGAGCAACCTGCATGTAGAATTACACAGGTTTCTAGTTAGTGCTGCTTAAATTCATCAAATCTGAACTTATACACATTGCTAATTGGTGCTGCTAAAGTTCAGCAAATGCAGACTTACTCTGCCAGTTGATGCTACTTAAGTTCAGCAAATCTGGACTTACATACATTGCTAGCTAATGTTGCTGCTTAAGTTCAGAAAATCTGGACTTACATATGCTGCTAGTTAAAGAAATTAGACTTTCAGAGAAAAATCCCCTTTAAAAACTATGGCAGTAATTTATTTACTTGGCAACGTTTCGAGAAAATGATCTTTTTTAAGCCAGTTTTTAAAAGTGACTTTTCTTTAAAAGTCTAATTTCTTTATTTTATCACCTTCACATTTTTCTACTTATTTGTTCTCTGCTAGTTAATGCTACTTAATTCAGCAACTCTGGACTTACATACATTGCTAGTTAGTGCTGCTTAAGATTTTCAAACCTCAACTATATAGTATGCTCATTAATGGTGATCAAGTTCTTCAGTTGGGTACTGCTTAAACACTTCTGGTTTGCAACTATTCAGACATCTAATAAACACTGCTTATATTATCTTTAACCTATATGGTTGGGAAGGATGAGAACCTTGAGTTAATTCTTCTATATGATTATGAAAGATATTAACATAATCTACTGCTCGGAGGTTAGAAAGGATGAGAACCTTCAATTAACTACTGCTATGTGATTATGAAAGATAATAATATAAACTAAGCTGTAGCTATGTGATTATGAAAGATAATAATATAAACTAAGCTGTAGCTATGTGATTATGAAAGATATTAACATAATCTACTGCTCGGAGGTTAGAAAGGATGGGAACCTTCAATTAACTACTGCTAGTAGTCAGTAATGTTTAAAACCTCAGTTTAACTACTGCTATGTGATTATGAAAGATAATAATATAAACTAAGCTGTAGCTATGTGATTATGAAAAATATTAACATAAAGTATGAGGTAGCTATGTGGAGAGGTAGGTTTAAAACCTCAGTTTAATTGATTAAATTATCTGCTTAAGGTTTTTCAGCTCTATAGTCATGAATTGTAGGATCTCATATATCAACAGTTGAAAGTATTATTTGCCAAAAATTTTAAGTTTATTGTAGTGTTGAATAAATTATTAAGATTCTGCAATTATTTTAAAACTTTATGTTTGAACACACATATCAGTGATTACGTGATGAGAAAAATATAAAATCATAACAAAATAATATGATTTCAAAATAAAATATTTCAGTTTTAGATAACAAAGCTGTTTTGTCTTAAAGCAACCATGAAATAAAATTTTAATCAGGTATTTGCAGTAAGATAAACTAATTCAAAAACTGACAGGCTTTTAAAAGTTCTTCACAAAGAGAACAAAATATATATACATAATTGAATGATTAATACTGACTGTGAAAGATGCAAAATATAAATACTCATAAAAAATGGTTGGAAATGAAATCAAAACTTTAATTCTCCCTTGAATTGAGATGATTTCTGTTGTTACAATGAAGTGTGTGGACAGATCTTGAAAACAATTCATGAAAAGAAACTGTGAAATATAAGAATCACAACAGAATCACTTTTTAGTCATGAGAAAAAAGAACAAGTGAAAAACATAAAACTTGTTACTCAAACCATAAAACAAGTGAAAAATCTCGTTTTATCCACTGAACATTATATTTTTACATACACATAAATACAAATTTACATCTAAACATTATGTTTTGGGATATAATAATTGCTTTATTTTTTTCAATTTCAAACTGAATGTAAGCTACGGTGGGACAAAATAAGTCTAAAAGTCAGGCTTAAGTTGGGTATATTTCTTTATATTATGTAGCACATAAATATCCAATGGATGATGATATAAACCAAATGTGAGTGAAATACAAAAATAAACATTAATCACTGAAAATTTTTAAAGTGTAGTTGCAATGTTAAGATTCCTTAAAGCTGATTAAACATATAGTATGGGACTATCTACTTTATTTCAAAATCATCTAAAAACATTGTAATAATTTGAATGGTCAAGTTAACATAGCAGGGTCAGCATTGAACAAGTTATTTAGAGATGGCTTCAAAGATTTTAAAACCTTATTCTGGCTAAAACAAAAGTGGCATTATCACTTTGGGTTTACTCCATTTAATAAGCAGATTTTGTTGAATAAGACCGATGTCTGTAGGTTTACTTTCTTCTTGGAAATCTTCTCAAGAAGAAAGTAAACCTACAGACATCGGTCTTATTCAGCAAAATCTGCCTACAAGAAAATCTGTCACCAAAGTATACCAACATTCCATTTAATAAATAAGTTGTTTAAAATATTGTTTGTTTGTTTTTCTTAATAAACACTGGTAAATAAAAAAAATCTCCAAAGCCAAGTCTGATAATTATATAAGAGGTTCCACTTTTTAAGTAAAATATTTCTTTTTCTTACAAATTCTATTTGTTGTATAAGTTCTGAATTGGCAACTTACAACACCCTAATATCACTGCTGAAATTTGTTACACACTTAATACAAAAGGATACTGAACACAAATTTTCTTGTTAAGCACAAAGCTATGCAAATAGGCTATCTGTGCTCTGCCCACCATTGGTATCATAACATGATTTTTAGTTATAAGCCCTCAGACTTATCACCGAGCAGCAATTGAGAGACCAAACAAAAACTAATGAAACAAAGATGCAAATACACATCAAATGCCTTGCACAGACAATAGAACATTACCGAAATTGGTTCAGCACAGAAAGCTAAGATGACAACATTTCAGAATAAGAAATGTTACACTTTGTGTATAAGGTATTTGGTGATGATGTTTGATGTGGATTGTGACTAGCTGGTGGTGTTCGAACCTGATAATTAGGTGCTTCTGATTCATCATTGGTTGATGAAATGGTTCTGGTTTTGATTTGAATGACAGTGATAAATTGTCCATATAATTGATTAAAGAACAACATATGTTTGGAACTTATATTGCCTATGAGATTTCCACACATCAAAATGAATATTACAGAGTAAATAATACTTTGAATATCAACTATAAATATTTACTTCTGACTTATAAACATTTTATTTTAATCAATAAATATCAATGTCAATTTACAATTTTACTTGAATGAAAGTAGATACTATAAAAGCTAGAATGCTATAGAAATACAGGTTTGTTAAACAATATGATTACATTCATATGCAACTTACAGAACAGTGGTAAATGAGTTATAACTTGTATCAATTCATTTCTTTGAATTACCCTAAAAAAAAAAAACAGAGACCATATACATGAAATACCTGATGAAATAAAAACTAGCTTTAATTTTCACACATCTAAACTTTTTCTCTCCTTTTATATGATTATTAGTGTTTCTTTAGAGGATTATCAACTATGGTGCTGAACAGCTGATTTCTGAACACAAAATCTTTAATCTGGTGAATGATATATAGAAAGATTAACAACATAGCTGCATACTGAATCCAAGCCCATTTCAAAAGCTGCCAAAATCCAGTCTTGTAGCTGGGAAATTGTTAAGAATGTTTTAGTAATGTTTTTCAGGGTGATTATTTCACCTTTTGAAATACTTAATGACTATTACACATAACTAAAACATCACACTGAAATTTAGATATAATTTTCACTCACTCTTATTCCTAAGCATCAGCATAAAACACTGTCAAATTGATGAAAAATGGACTTCACAAGTTAAAAAAAGGAGCACAGAAATATTAGTCCAAAAATCTTTCCTGGCACCTAAAATGTCCATGATTATGCACAGGTGTCACAATACTTCCTGCCCTGCATGTAAAACCAAAATTTATTTACAGTCACAAAAACTTCATAATCAATTCAATATTAAAAATATAAACTAGATTACAAACTAAAATGCAATATGCAAACAATACTTTTTCTTTGATTCCTTCGTATATAATAAACAGGATATAAAACACAGTCAACTTTCTCAAGCACACATAATAGGTTGATCATTCCTAAATATAGAATTGTTTCTGAACGAATTTCATCAAGTACTTAATAAAAAGAACCCTTTCAGAGTGAGCCATTGAAGAACCAGGCATGTCAAAATGCTTAACAATTTAATTATAAGGTGGAAGTAAACATACAGAAAGTATTACAATTATAAAATATGTTTAACCCCAAGTTTGTAGCTTAACCAGGCCAAATTCTCAGATCAGATCCAGTAGTACTAATTTTTCACATTTTGTTGGTGTATCATTTAGACCAAGTATAAAACATTCCACAATCAGCATAAAAACTGAAACTGATTTTGATACTACTTCCAAAATGATTGTTGCTGATCTATTCCAATAAGGATTTACTGCTAATTTCATTGTAAACTAGGCCAGAAATGTGGATATTTCATTGCAGACAATTATCAAAAGAATTTAAATAAGAGCAGTACAGAGAGTACATGAGATACCATCTAGAAACTAGTTCAGAAAAGGAAAAAATGAATGCACTTCAAGGTAAGCTTCATTGAAATTGAAAACAACAAGAACTTTTGCATTTGAATAAGAAGATATCAAAGACGGTTTTTTTCCCTTTTCATCTCTGGTTTTCCTTTGTATTCTTTTTTTGGAAACTCTCTTTGCCCCTTTTCCTTAATAGCGTTCTTTCAATGGATATCCAATCAAAGTCACATCAAATGCATTTATTGCACTTTAAACACCTTTCCATTTTATATTACAACTAATAAGACATACAGAATTGTTTTCTGATGCTTCCATAGTGTTTTACATTTCTTTTATATGCTTTAAAAATGAAGCTGCACAGAAAAAAGCAATTGGCTTTTGACCAGAAAATATAAAACATGGTAAAGTGAAGGGCAAGAATGTTGAATAATTCTCCACAGCTATCATTTTTGTGCATTTTGAAAATTTTCTGGATGTTAAATAGTTAAATTAATCACTAATCTGGATATGAGCAAATTACAAATTTATGTTTAAAATTATCCCCTGAAAAGAAAATCAATCAATTCACACAATATTTAGTAGCAAAACTGATATCCTTAATACAAAATTCTACTAAAGCAGTAAGGATACATAATTGTTTCTTCTGGGTAAAGAATGTTCAAAGAAATAATGAATGGTTTTTTTGCTCCTCTTCCTGTTTTCCAGTCTACATACTCATTCCCTAGGTATGTAGTAACTAGAAAGAAAATACAAAATATCAACAGAAGCTACAAAGATCAGTACAATATTGAAATCAACTAATATGTACAAACTTATTTTCAGAAAATTGTTTCAGAGAGTCCTTTTCACAGCTTCTAGCAATTCATCTAGATCTAAAACAGCAGTTCTAAATGTGTGTTCTGCAGGCTTCATTCAGGTAGTCCAAAGAAAGGTTTTATAATTAAAGAAAGAAAATGGCAACATAGCATACAGATCCCATTGTGGTCCCCTTAGATAAAAACAAATATTGTCCACAAACAAAAACTTTTGAGAACCACTGATCTAAAACATATTTATGGTTGTTAAGGGACATTGTTAGCAAATGCATAACTCAAAGCTATGTTGTAATATTCATTATTCTGCATTACATAATAAGTTGAACTGGCCAATAAGCAGTACTGCTGGCCATACTATTAAACTGGTCATATTAAATTGGAAACTAAAGAATATCAGCTATTAATGTTGGACTAGAGTTAATGAGTTCTGTTGGTCATGTTGGACTGGAGTTAATGAGTTCTGTTGGTCATGTTGGACTAGAAGTTAAAGAATTCTGTAGATTATGTTGGATTAGCACTGGAGTTTTATTTGTAAGGTTGAACTGGAAATCAAGCAGTACTTACATTCATGCTAGTCTAGAAGTTAAAAAGTACTGCTATTCATAGTAAAGTTTAAATATTATAAATGAATTTTTAGAAAATAAATAAAAATATGAAGTCTCTAATTATATAATATTTTCAGGCTTATGAGTTAATGGTCTAAATATCACATGTCCTAACAAACCACACTATAAAATGGTGCATGAAAATGCTTGTACTTTATATAAACAAAATAGCAACTGAATATTTTACAGACATCTAAGACTTTGTCCTTTACTAAACTATGGCAATTATTAAACCTACTAGTGTAAATTGGAGTAGACTCACATTTCATTCGTAACTAAAATTACAAATACTATGATGCTGAATAACTTTTAAATCTTTCATTGTAAATCTAGAGTACAATAAACTAGTGCCAATTTTTCTCCTCTTCTACATTATATTTTTAACTTACAATGAACTCAAGAAGGTGAATTGCATGAAGAAAAAGTTGTCTTTTATATTCAAGAATAAGAAAACAGTACTCACCATTTCGTCTAACATATGAATTTAGTATTTTTTCTATTGTATACTTCTCAGTATTACGGTCATTTGTATCAATAATAGGTATCTGAAATTAATAAACAAATTATATACATAAGTCCATTAGATAATACATTCATTACTTGTGTTACCAAGAATAAAAATTATTATTAGAATTATAACTTTTTATTTTAAAATACCATGTAATAACTGATGTACTCATTCAATGCACTGAAAACAGAATTCCTGAGGAAGTAACACAGATACATATTCCACCCCATATGTCTTTTCATACCAGTCTTCCATCATATAATTATTTAAACAGAGGATAAGGTTTGTTGTAGCAGGATAAACACCACTGGCTAATTTAAGAACAAAACAGCTAGAATTTTCAAGAATTTGATCTTAAGTAGAAAATGTCTGGATTGAAAATGTACAGTCAGATCAATTCTAATTTGACAGATTAATCAGGTGTATATGTTGTAAAGAAGGCATTAGTCTTCCAGTTACAACTAAAAGCTTCTCTAAAAATACCTTTACAAACAAGTGTGTAAACAATTACCTAGGTCAAGTGATATTTCTATAAGTTTCATGAGTATTCACACCCTATGTTGCCCATACAAAATGTATCCCTAACACCTGTGACCTTCTCAGTCTCCCAGGCTGTGCTGCCTTTTGTTGCCATTCCTATGAAATGATTAACCTAGCAAACTCTCTGACCCAGACACATTCTTTCCACTACCATCTGGTTGTTACATAAATAGAGTCCAGGTCCTGTAGCAGAGAAATGGGATAAAAACTGCAAAACTGGTTCCAACATGCATGAGCTGATTTGGGTTTGCAGCTACCAGTCCCTACTTTTGACCATTAGAATTGACTAAAGCTTGCATCATATCTCCCTTGCAACTTTCTAAGAGATACAAGTTTATGCTAATTAGGTGGAACTTACAAAGTTCACAATGCAGGTGTTACTTTCTACTTCCAGCAGTGCACTTACAGTCTACATTTTCCTGCATCTTTAACTGCACTTTGTACTAAAGCAATGTTAAGGAAATATTTAGAAAACTATATGCTTATAAAATATTTGTACTTGATTAAAATATTCTTAGAATAATCAAGCTTCTGTTCATAAATTTCATTTATGCCTGAAAATTTCACCCACTCATTAACATTTCAAATTGATCAACTTGAAGTATCTTGCACTACTCTCACCAACAAACCCCAAGTAAAAACTAAGTTTTCTTGTAGACAGTATGAGTCTCTTCATTACTTTTATTCTTCCATGAAAAGTTCACTACCTGCTAAATGTTTCAATGTCAAAATTGACAGGTTCTCATAAAAGTATCGATAAAAATAACAGATGTGCTTTATCTTCAAATGATACCTTACAGGTCAGTAATTACAGTTAACCTCATGACAGTCTTAGCATTTGTTCCATTAACAAGCTGTTTAACTCTCTCAACACAGTCTCAGTCAATTTGACCATGTGACCATTTATACTCAATCTAAGTCATTATAGATTTAATACTTCTAACTTTCAATATAGTATGTATATCTTGACAAAATTTGGCAGTCTTTCAGTTCATATTATGTCTTTCACATACAAAACATCATATTTTTAAGTGAAGTATTTTGAATACAATAAAATAAAAATTTGTCTATCAATATATTGAGTATATTTGTTTTGAATAGTGCATGCGAAAAGTAAATTTCATGTTAAAATTAAAAATACTTTTCCTCATCTCAAAAATCTCAAATTTCCTTTATGTAATCCCTAAAACCTCCTAAATGCATTTCAAATGTGTTTTTTCAGTAAAACTTTATAGTTTATCTGTTATTTTCTCTACCCTACCTCAAAATGAGATTGGTCAATTTGAACGACCGCATAACCTCCAAAACAAAAAATTAAATAAACCTAAATTACCCTTTTTTCCTTCTAGAATGACTTCAAATTGTAAAATGAAACTACATTCGTTTTCCCAAGTAGTTCTAAGTTTGTAACAGTATACATCTATTTATAATTATATTTTATTATTTCATTGCCATTTTAACAGTGTCTAACTACTATCTGTGCTATTATAAGTTGTAAATAACTTGGAGTACATGCAGATCATGAAATCGAATTACATTACCCACGAAGCTGTTCGCGTGTGTACCTCATGAACCATTTGAATCATATCATTATTATATATTTTACCTAATCTAGTCTTAAATAACTTTGAAAGATCTGTATTTTTATAGTTTAGTTACTTTTATAATAATAAATAAAGAATAAATATGAAAAACAAGAAATCAGGTAATTACCCAATCTTCTTTTTTCTTGCTCTTGTGTTTTCAAGGAGAGTTAACCCTATTTTGTTATTTTATAGATAGTAATGCCCTTAAT